TATATATATGATTGGAAACTCGTTGTCTAGGGGCCTACTACAATATAAATAATATGAGATTTATTCACCCTATTTCGTTTACTGTGATAAAGGACTGGTAGTAGAATCTTACCACAATGATATGAGTAGAGCTGACGTGGCCACATTGCCACGAGTGGTTAACGTATAAGGCTCACATTCTGCACTTTCACGGTTCGACTCCCGCTGAGGGTGTTGATCAGAACTATGTGAGGTCGAAACTGCAGTCCACCCTGGATGAGGACAACTTTTGGGAAAACAAGGCTTTGTGAAATTTAATGGAAAGGTCAGCTCTACTCATATCATTGTGGTAAAATTCTACTACCAGTCCTTCATCAACTTAAATAAAATATGCTGAATACATCTCATATTACTGATTTACTGGTAGTCCCGAAACTCTACTTACATGCGAAAAATACTATATTGGTGTTTTAGTCAGCACGACATTTTTCTAGGAGTGTGCATATGTATTTGGGAACACCATAAACTATAATTTTCAAAAGATTGCTTTACTTCATTAATGAGTTATAAAGTAGTGCTTATTCGAATATATATGAATTTTTTCCGGATTTATTTAATGTTTATTATGCTAACTCTTGGTTCACTATGGTGAGAGATTAGCTAAAAAATATTTAAGTTTAATTTATTTATTCTGTTTTTTTTAGCGGGTTTTCACAGCTCTTCTATTAAACGCCGATAAAGTTGCTTCGAGAATAAACTCCGACTTTTCGAGCCTTTCTGGAGCGCAGAATCGAGGTTCTACTAGTTCGCCTGTTCATTCAGTTGCATTTGGGCCTAGGCCTGTATCCGGATCAAGCAACCAATCTCACAAGTCTCCGACCTTTTTTGGCCCAGAAGACGTTAAATCACTGGAAGTTAGTCGGCCATCTTGCCCCTTCTCCATGCCAGCCACCATCTATCAAACGACTGCTTCAAATTCGACTTTTGCTGAAATGGATAATAGGCATATTGGTCTTGATGTAACTGCTACTACTACCTCTAGCAGACATAGCGCTGTAAATGACTTTGCAACTTCTTCATTTTACCCATTCAGCAGCTGTCGCAACGACGCAAGCAATGCAACAGGGGGGCGTGACACGTGTTCTTTAATGAAGCATGAACAGACTTCATCAGGAGTTCCATACAAGACACTCTCTAACCTGCCTCGAATTGGATCCGTCTCACCGAGCTTAGATTGCTTGGATGAGCCGTCCCTTATAGAGTCCAGCATTGAGGCAAGCATCCTTGGTTTTTTTCAGTAACCAGTTGGCAGTTTATTAATTTTGAGAGCTTACTTTAATTCTTGAAAGTTCTTTTCTTTTACTTTGTTATTATAAGTGCTAAATTGAATCAAGGAGAACATTTGACTTATAACAGTGGTTCTCAAACTTTTCCCAATCGCGGCCTCTTTTTTCATTTAAATTTTTTCCATGGCACCCTACCCTAAGTATGATTTTCGTAAGAGATAAAAAAAATAAAACTCGTATCTTCATTATTTTTTTTACTTTATTATCATTAAATTAATATTTACTAC